GGGCGCCCCCCCATACACACTCTCTCTCTGAAATAACTAAATACATCTTTAAAACATTTAATATTTGGGGTGCCTGGCTGGCTCAATCAGAAGAGCATGTGACTCTTGATCTCGGGGTCGTGAATTCAAGTTCCATGTTGGGTGTAGAGATTACTTAAATAAATAAACTTTTAACAGTAAATAATGAAAAGTATAATTAGCTCATTTATATTGAATGCTTATTGTGCCCAGCACTATTCTGAAAGTTCATTATCATCTTTACAACCCTATCAGGTACATTCTCTATATTGAACCCCAAATTTCAGGTGATGTAATGGAGACGCAGAGAAGTTAAGTAACTTGACAAAAGTCACAGAACTAGTAAAGAGTAGGGCCAGGATTCAAAGCCAGCTGGGCTGGCTCCATAGGCCATGTCCATGAGCTCATGCCCACGGTTTTATCCAAGAAATGAACGACGCTGTTTTGTTTCAAAGTCCTTGGCTTGGTCAAAGAAATTAATTTATTAATGTCCTCATCTTCCAAAAAGGAATCAAGGCAACCGTAAACAAAATGAAGGCATATACAATTATCCTAAAAATAAAATTTTATTCTTTTCACAGTTTTATTCTTTTCACACTTATAGAATTTGCCTTTCTAAGGATTTATGTTTTGGCCACAATTTACATTCAAGGGATACTGTGGCAAAGATCAAAAGCAACATTGACATCAAGATCAAAGGCAGAGGGTGGTGTGCAGAAGTACAGTGAAGATCAGTTGGTCCTTGCTGCCCGACCAACTCAGAGCTTTTGATTCTACCTTCCAATTGTCCAAAGCTTCCCCCAACTTTACCATTGGTTCTAATGTTTCAGAGTAGATGGAAATGACTCAAGTTCCCCAAATACCAATTAATGTACTCATTTCTTGAATTTGACTCATTTCAGCTGGATGTTAGAAAACAACTGAGTTATTAAAATGAGTTGCATTGGGCGCCTGGGTGGCTCAGTCGGTTAAGCGACTGCCTTCGGCTCAGGTCATGATCCTGGAGTCCCGGGATCGAGTCCTACATTGGGCTCCCTGCTCGGCTGGGAGTCTGCTTCTCCCTCTGACCCTCTTCCCTCTCATGCTCTCTATCTCTCATTCTCTCTCTCTCAAATAAATAAATAAAATCTTTAAAAAAAAATAAAGTGAGTCGCATTAAGGAGTGATTTATTAGGTAATATCCAGAATTATTTGCATTATACGTTATGCATATGAATTCCTCTGTTTCAGATTGATGGAGTTTTTAAGGGGATATGTGTGAGTAGGATTCCCAAGCTCTCTCAGGTGATTCTGGAAATGGTGTCCCTCTCACCAGCCTCAACTGGAACCAAAAACTCTTGTCCTGAATGTTTACATGACTCTTTAAATTTTCTAAAATACAAGCCTATTTGGGAAAGGGAAATGGTTATTCTCCACTTTTAAAAATATTTTAATTAGTTAATTTATTTTGTAGAGAGGAGGGAAGGGGCAGAAGGAGAGGGAGAGAGATTGCCCAGCACCAAGCCCCAAGTAAGGCTTGATCTCACAATCCTTAGATAATGACCTGATCTGAAATCAAGAGTTGGACACTTAGCTGACTGAGCCACCTGGGCACCCCAAGATTTTATTTTTAAGTGATCTCTATGCCCAGCGTGGGGCTTGGACTAATAACCCTGAGATCAAGAGTCACATGCTCTACCAACAGAGCCCAGGTGCCCCTGGTTGTTCTCCATTTTGGATAGAGATTTTCAACATGTGCTTTGAAGATTATCTTTGAACTCATCTGGGGAGATTCCCAGCCCCACCTCTGACCTACTGCATTAGAATCTCCCAGCTGGCTCAAGAATCTGTACCCTAACAACCTCCCCAAGGTAACTTTTGCATGTGCATGAGTTCGGTAACCACTAACATATTGGGTAATTTTGAAAAGTAAAGCACCAGCATCATCTGGGTTGTTGGGTTCTTTCCTATTATAGACCACAGACCAGAACTTCAAGGAGTATCATGTAAAAACCTAATTATAAGATCAAATATAATTCTAGGAGGCTAATAATTAACAAATCTATTTACAAGATTATATGTCTTTTGTTGTAAATTATGTGGAAACATCTCAATGAATTATATGTGTGAAACATCTCAAAGAATTCTTTAGTGGGTGTTGTTTAATCCTGCCTTGCCTTCCATAAAATTAACCAGCTGGCCAAAGTTTTTACTATCCTACCCATAGGAGTTGCCAGTAACCCTTGAGGCATTTTCTTTCCTTTTTTTAAAAAAATTTGTTTATTTTTTTAAAGATTTTATTTATTTATTTGACAGAGTGAGACACAGTGAGAGAGGGAACACAAGCAGGGGGAGCGGGAGAGGGAGAAGAGGCATTTTCTGAACAAGCCTCATTTCCTATATAAAAGGAACTGAGCTTGGTCAATTGCACAAAATTTAGGCTGATTAAAGTGGTTACTTTAAAGGAGACTGTGAATTCTGTAGTTTTAGAAATGTTTTAAAATAGTAAATACAATCATCTTTTTGGATGAGGAGAGTGTACAATAGCCTAAGGATAGAGGATGCAAAAAGAAGGCCTGGTAAGATTCTTTCTAGTTTTATAATTTGACTAAACTGCTTCTCCATCCAATTGAATATCAACTTGTGTATGTTTGTTTCATTTTTTTTTTTTTTTAAAGATTTTATTTATTTGACAGAGAGAGACACAGCAAGAGAGGGAACACAAGCAGGGGGAGTGGGAGAGGGAGAAGCAGGCCTCCTGCCGAGCAGGGAGCCCGATGCTTGATCCCAGGACCCTGGGATCATGACCTGGGCTGAAGGCAGACGCTTAACAGCTGAGCCACCCAGGTGCCCCTGTTTGTTTCATTTTCTAAAGCCCCTCCCAGATGTTTCATTTTTTTTAATTGGCTAAACCTGGCAAGAATTTCTTGCCACTCCCTGATAGCTGCTTGAGAATCCTTTACAAAAATACAGTTTAGATGCGCAGAAATACAAAAAAGGAAACCATTTAACTTGATGATAATACACCACCAGGTAACTCAGATACCTAACAGAATTTTTCATTGAAATGTTTGGTTTGGCCAAGTTAACTGGCCAAACCCCTTCATTTACAACATATAATTACTCTTCTTTCTTACACTTGTTTGTTGATTCTTATCAATTGCTACATTTTTTCTCCTTCATTTATAAGCTAAATCCCATAGTTCAACCAAGAAGGTCAATTACCTTGAAAATGTTGCATGTCACTGTGCTGACAGTAGAAAACAAATATCAGAGGAAAGAGTTGGGCTGCTGGAATCTGTAGGATGCTGAGTACTTTGAAGCAGCTGCGAACCCGTAACACTAAGGAACTGATTCCAAGCCACCTTTCAAAAACTAAAAATCTCCTCCAGAAGGGTGAGTAGTTGATAAACAATTTAAGGGGGGAACTCTTATTTAAAGCTTGTAACACTAAGGATAATTCTGTGAAACGATATTGCAATCTACTCGGTAAAACTCTTAAAAGCAGATTTTATCTTTCCTTCAAGAGATCATGGGAATATCTAGCATTTTAGTTTAAAATATGTAACTTCCTTTCCTGGTCCCATATTTGGGTTTGTTCTACTGTATCTGGATTTGTTCCAGCATACCTGTGGAACCAGGCAACTAATAATCTTTACTCAGCATTTCTTATATTTCTTGAATGAAAATGGAATGGATTGATTGGATTAATGGCTAGAGCTTTATTTAAAGATTTTGTTTTCTTAAGTAATGTCTACACCCGATGTGGGGCTCAAACCCACAACCCCAAGATTGAGAGTTGCATACTTTACCAACAGAGCCAGCCAGGTGCCGCTAAGGGTTAGAATTTTACAAGACACTTATGATTTTGCCATTTTCTTTGTATACCGACGAAAACTTCTTATAACTCTACAGAAAAATAAATGAGGCAGTGTAAGGTTGGGAAAGAAGCACAGAGAACTAGGAGTTCTAATCCAGACCAGGTTCTGGAATTAGAGCTTCACTTTTCTCTACTGTAAAATTAGAGGCTGAAGAAGCTATTTAAAGCTTCTTCCAAAACTTTTTGACCTAACAGAAATGCTAATCAGTGGGGCGCCTGGGTGGCTCAGTTGGTTGCGCGACTGCTTTCGGCTCAGGTCATGATCCTGGAGTCCCTGGATCGAGTCCCGCATCGGGCTTCCTGCTCAGCGGGGAGTCTGCTTCTCCCTCTGACCCTCTTCCCTCTCGTGCTTTCTATCTCTCATTCTCCCTCTCTCTCAAATAAATAAATAAAATCTAAAAAAAAAATGCTAATCAGTTACCGACATAATTAACTAGTGTATCCTGATTTTTAAAACATGTTTTCATTTGTGATTTAAAAGAAATATGGAAGTCTGAATTGAGGCAGATAGCCCTTCAAGGCCAGGTAAGAACTGATGAATTGACAACAAAGTCACATGTTTTGAACTTAATATACTGATACCCAAGTGCCCAGAAAAATAATTGCTAGTCTACTGTCCGTGAATCTGCTGGAAAGCCCTGTTAATGACACAACTTGGGATTTCACAGACATCTGAGTTAGCCAGCACCACTCTGCTGGAGGGTGGGGAGTAGACTGGACGCTCCAGGCAGGGTTAGGAACGTTATAATTTAAGCAACTAAAGAAAGGCCCCCGGCAGTAGGGCCTCTTCCGTGGTCGGTGATGAGGTCTCGCTGCGGGAGAGGCAAAGCCGCCCCAAACTCCCAGGGTGGTCCTCCTCAAACGAGGCTCTGGTTCCGGGAAACGTTCGCCGTATGTAGGGGGGGTAGACGGCCCCCTACAATTTACATCAAAACGCGCGCGCAGGGTAGATGGGCGCTGCCTGCACCGCCCCCAAGGCCGCCGCTCACCGCAGAGCCCCGCGCCGCGGAGAAACCTCCGGGCCAGCCCTGCCGCGCTGACGGGCGTCGCCGCGAGCCAATGGGCGCGCTGGGAGGCGGGGCAGCGAGGCCGAGGGGGCGGGATTTCCCGCGCGGCCGCTCGGCTGCAAGAGCTGCGCGGTCAGCGACGGCGGCCGCGCCTGCAAGAGAGGGCGGGTCGGGGTCAGCAGTCACAGGCGGGCGGGCGCGGGGAGCTGTGGGCGGCTGCTGTGTCTCCTGCCGCCGCCCTCCCTCCGCCACGATGCCGGGAATCGACAAGCTGCCCATCGAGGAGACGCTGGAGGATAGTCCGCAGGTGAGGCGCGGGCGGTGGCACGAGGCGAGGGGAAGGGCAGGGCGGGCCGACCCCAGGCCTGGCGCCGCGGCCGCCGCAGGTGCTCGTCCTGGCCCAGGTGGGCGCCGTCGCCCTGTGTCCCCGCCCGTCGCGGGCCGCGCCCCGAGCCGCCGCGGCCCGGCCGCCAGCCCGAGGCCCGCGTGGGCCTGCGCGGCTGGGCCGAGAGGCACGCGCGGGGTCTGGGACGTCGGCTGGCGGCGACCGAACCTCCGCCGCCTTCGCTCGTGGGCCCGGCGTTCACGTACGTTCGCGGGGCTCCCTTGTATTTGACGAACGGTGCGTTTTTATCGCCGTCATGTAAGGTCCTAAATTCCAGTCCTGGGATTTCCTCCCCGAAGGTCTCTTCGGAGGAAGTGCAGAAGGAGGAAAAAAAAACCCCGTAGACTTATTCCATAATTTCTGAGCAAGCTAGGGAAGGAAATGGATAGTTTTTCTTCGGGAGATGCTGGAAGGCTGCTGATTTACCCGCGTGGAGAGTCACCGGCAAAGCTGGTCAGGTGCCTCGGAGCCTCCCCGTGGACTGTGTCCAGTGTCGTGGCCGCGACTGTATCCGCTGTCGCTCGAGCTGTGCACGGCTTCTGATGGACGGCGCCTTCGTGGCTCCGCGACTGCTGCGCGGAATGATGCAGACTTGGCCCTAATAAACTCATCAAAATAAAAGCCCCGTGTTTCGTGCTTTGGGGGGTGATGCTAGTGTGGTTGCTCTAGCCTCAGACAGTCTAGAGAAACGTAACAATTTACGTGTTCAATATTGAAGAACGAAATCAGTTACATTAAAAACATGTTGGTAGGCGCTGTAACTTGCATTGAGAAACATCATCCCTTGAGCCTGTCTTTTAACACAACAATTTAAGCGATTTGAGACGATGTTGCTGGTTGGCTACCTTCGAAATGGTGTTCATTCAGAACTACAGTCGCACACATTTCATATGTGTCTTGATGGTTTAATATGGCCCCAAAAGATGAGGAAGAAGGGGCTAGATCCCCCTGGCCTGTGTGACGTCTGTCATGACTTCTGCCAATTTTAATTGCCAGGTGGAAGTCCGGCTCTGATTGTGGAACTGATTTTCCCCCTCCCCAGGCGGAAAGTTATCTTCACAAGCCAGTTGTTTGCTGTAATGTTCTCTTACCAGCCTAAACTGATACAGAAACCCCACATCTTGGTTTATCTTGACTGCCAGGATAGCTATTTCAAATTCTTAGTGATTTCTGTAGTGTAAAGTTAGAAGCTATATTTGTTTCAGATGTTTTGTAAAAATTTTGTGGCATGTATTGGTCAGGTGCACTTTGTCATTTTACTACTATTATATAAGACTCAACAGGTTGCTTTACCTTTTCTTACCTGGCCTGGTTTTTATAGCCCATAAAGATTATACATAGTCCAGAATGGGTAGCACGGTGCTCTCGCCAGCACTTGTGTGGAGTATATGATCTGACTCATCAGACTAATTTCTTGAACTTTTCACACAATTAGTTTACAACTTGAGCATTCATTTGTTTTTTTACAAGTGCATGCCATATTAGTTTTATAGTAATTTTTAATGAAGACAGCTACCTTGATAGTCTTTCGATTTCTGTAAGTAATTTGAACTAGGTAATATTTACTTGGAAAAATTAGTTGGGACAAATGAGATTTAGAAAGGGAAGACGCTTGGAAGTAATTCTTAGGGAGAACTTGTGGTAGGATGGAAAGCCCTGGATTCTGGGATTCGGGATGGAGTTTTAGTCTTCACTGCCACTTCGCTTGCTTTAGGGAAAGTCACTCAACTTCTCTGAATCTCAGGGGTTATAGTGAATGTCTTTATTTTTGTACCTGATTATAAAAGTCATAGTTACGCGCTTAAGAAAAATTAGAAGGTATAGAAATAGTTACCTGTCTTGCACCCAGCAACAAACCCTGTTAACAGTTTTCCTCGTTTTCTCTTATATATTTTAATGTATTTGAAGTTATATTGTGCATAACAATTTTTATTCTGCTTTAACTTAACATTGTAGTGTAAGTATGTTCACATATTATTAAATCTTGAATTAAAAAAATTGAAAAGTGCATGTTTCCTTAAGTGACTTAACAGTTGTCCTACTGTTGAATTTTGAGAGTTTTCCACAAGTTTTGTTTTTATATATAGGACTGAGGTTAATGCTTTGGGGCATAAATTTTTCTTCTCATTTGGACTGTTTATCTAGGATAGAGTCCAAGAAGTCAAATAACAAAGAGTATGAAAACTTTTAAAGCTCCTGATATAGATGAGTTTTTATTTAGATCATTTGATCCTAATCAAAAGTGTCCTGTCACCATAGCATACACCCTCCACAATGCCTGTCACCCAGCCACCCCATCGCTCCCACCTCCCCACCACTCCAGTAACTCTCAGTTTGTTTCCTGAGATTAAGAATTCCTCATATCAGTGAGGTCATATGATACATGTCTTTCTCTGATTGACTTATTTCGCTCAGCATAATACCCTCCAGTTCCATCCACGTCGTTGCAAATGGCAAGATTTCATTCCTTTTGATGGCTGCATAATATTCCATTGTATATATATACCACATCTTTATCCATTCATCTGTCGATGGACATCTTGGCTTTTTAAAAAAAAAAAAAAAGAATTTATCCCTTATATGAAACCTGGGGAAAAAAAACTATTTTAAGTGTAAAAAAAAAAAAAAGTGTCCTGTCAATTTCTATGTAAAAAAGTTAGAGCCTGGAGTCATGGAAGACTATCCTAAATTGCAGTTACCCATTTTAGTTTTGATTTATAGTAAGTACTAAAATAGAGGGCTATTTGCAAGTTCAAATCTAGTTGATTGGACATAAACATCTTTAGAATTGTCTCCCATTCTGCAAAAGATAGTATTTATTGAGATAGGAAGTCTTTAAGGCTACACTAGATGTCTTGTCCATACATAGATGTTGTTTTGAAAATCTGGAGCAAAATGAAACTGCTGGTTAATAAGAACAGATACGATCTTTTAAAAATAATCGATTTTATGTGTAGATAAGTATCTGTGATTCATTAGTGCTAGAACTGTGAAGATAACGTCTAGTTCCAACTGGAGACTTTTTTCTTTGACATAATATGGAATATTCACAGATAATGAGACATACTCTTTTTCTTTTTCCACATCTTAACATGCCTGATAGTGAGATAGATGCCCCTCTACAGTTGATGATTTATTTGTAATTGGTTGCAAATGTCCACACATGGTTGTTTCTCCTAGTGGCATGACTGGTCAAGTGCAGCCTTTCAGCATTCAGCAACTCAATTTAACAACCACTTGAAGGACCATCAGTCCTGTTTGTTGTCTGAAAATATTCACCATCAAAATTTGCTGAATGGGTATCAGTGGTTTGGAAGAAAATATTGGGGACAAGAGTGGAACTCTTCTAAGAAATACTTGTCACCCCCCATGGCACAGAATAATAGTGGATGAGAAAACATGGATATTGATGATTCTCATGTCAAAAAGTGACTCACAAGAATTGAACTCTGAAGAAATATTAGGATAATATTAAATTTTATGCTGTTTGTGTTTTCCTTTTATGTTCAAAGGAGTTGTATATAAAATTCTGTCTAAAGGTTCATTTCCACAAATAATAAAGTCAAAATTGCAAGACATAAGAAAACCTCAAATCATAGCCTAATTGCTGGCATTGTTTTTAGTAGTATTTAAAAATGGTGCAGGGGTGCCTGGGTGGCTCAGTTGGTTAAGCATCTGACTTTTGGTTTTGGCTCAGGTCATGATCTCAAGGGTTGTGGGATCCAGCTCCGTATCAGGCTCCATGCTCAGAGGGGAGTCAGCTTGCAGACTCTCCCTTTGCCCCTCCTCCCACTCATGTGCACTCTCTCAAATAAATAAGTAAATAAATCTTTAAAAATGGCGCAGTTCACAGTGGAAGTCATCATAGATTCAATGAAATGGTATCATATTGTTGTACTTTTATAAGGTGCTAACTGAATATTATTAGTTTTAAATAGGGGACCTGTTTTAACACTGGGGCTAAGGAGATCTTTTTAATTTAAATCCACCACAGGTTTTTGCATAAATGTGTAATTCCTTGAATTAGAATAATAATTTTGGGGAAACAAAAAATGACAGATTTTTCTTAAGAATGGCACTAGTCAAACAAGGTTTCTTGATGTTTTCTTTTTTACATCTTAAAATATCACTGTGGGGAATAGGAGGGGGGGCACAGAGCTAAAGAATGAAAAGATTCTGTCAGATCTAAATCTCTGGAGCATGGGAAATAGAGGACTGACAACATGGATTTCATATATGGACATAATGATTTTGTACCCTCTTTTTTTTTTTTTAAACCATGTTGACTTAGCTTCCTTTTCTGAAAATAGGAAGCTAAGGAATAAGTTGATTTTTTTTTTTTAAACCACCTTCTAAGAATGAACTATTTGTAGAATAAAAATATAAGGTCATCTTTTAGATTTTAAACAGCAGTTATCTCAATAGTTGTTGGTATTTTAATTCTTTCTTTGCCTTTGAGATATGAAAAGGTGAGTATGCGTGCCTTCTTGATATGCTGAGTTTCCTTATCTCATCCTTTTTATTGACAGTCTTAATGTTTACTTACTTTACAAATTTTCCCCTTAAAATGAAGGGAAAATGCTTATTGCGTTAAAAAAAAAAGCCTAACAATATAGATAAGTATGAAGAAGAAGAAGAAAAACCTCAAATTCTGTACTCATAAAATCCAAGTTAGCATTTACTAGGCCATGTTGGGGATGGGTACTATGTTATTATTATTATTATTATTTTTTTTTAAAGATTTTATTTATTTGACAGAGAGAGACACAGCGAGAGAGGGAACACAAGCAGGGGGAGTGGGAGAGGGAGAAGCAGGCTCCCCACCGAGCAGGGAGCCCGATGCGGGGCTTGATCCCAGGACCCTGGGATCATGACCTGAGCCGAAGGCAGACGCCCAACGACTGAGCCACCCAGGCGACCCTATGTTATTATTTTGGATTAAGGTGGGGAGGGGTTTGGGATTACTACAAGAGACCATGGAAAAAGAAATAATACTGAGTTATCCTGAAATAAGATCTCTAAAATATTTATACATGGAATACTGTTAATTTCGCCTGGGACATTTTTGTTGATTTGTTCTTAGTTTAATTACAGACTTTTTAATTCATAAAAATATACCTTTGTTGTTCCTTTTAAAGTTTATGTGACGGGAGCGCCTGGATGGCTTAGTCAGTTAAGCGTCTAACTCGATTTTGGCTCAGGTCATGATCTCAGAGTTGTGGGATGGAGCTGTGATGGGATGCTTGAGATTCCCTCTCCCTCTGCCCCACCCCTAAAAAAATAGAAATATTGTGTGATGTAGGTGGAAAATCCCTCCATTTTAGTGAAGTGAAATTGAGAACAAAGAACCTCAACATTGCCACTACAATACTATTTTGGCATTACTATCAAAAGAGAGAAAATAGGTTAAAACTCAGAATTATTAGAGCTCCAATATCCTAGGATTTTTCCTTCCTTTAGAAAATAATTTTCTATTTGATTTATATAATGGTTAATGTAAACTTACTGCTTTATTTTATACAGACAAGGTCTTTACTGGGTGTATTTGAAGAAGATGCTACAGCTATTTCCAACTATATGAACCAGTTGTATCAAGCTATGCATCGGATTTATGATGCACAGGTAAAAACCTAAAGGCTGACTGCTTTTTTTAAATGACTCATTAAGCCCGTGAGGACAGATCTATAGCTAGTGTCTGCCTTGTTTACTGGTGCCTAGCCCTATCCTGGGCTCATAGTAATATCTGTTGAGTGGATGCATGAACTTTTAAGTATTTTGTATTAGAGCTAACATTCCAATTACTAGTGTGTAGTTTGTAGCTCTTCAAAAGATACAAAGATTGAAGCATCTTCCTCTCTCTACCCAAACACAGTAAGAGCTTTCTTACTGAAACTCACTGATCGTGATCTTTGCCTAAGATTCCATTTTGTCACCAATGTTTTCCCTAATTGTGCTTTTAATCTTATGGAACACTTCCCCCTTTTTGAGTAAAGGAATGAAAGTAGTTTATGTTTAGTGAGAAGCAGATAATAAAAATGAGATGTAACTCTGGGTACTGGGAGACGAATTTAAGAAGATGACTAGATTTTTTTGTTGAGCAGGTTTAAGATTTGAGGCTATGTTTATGTAACTTAATTATAAGCCTTAACAGCAGCCTGGTTTCTGTGATAAGCTTTCTTTGGGATTAATTAGGTATACAAGTTTCCCCCCCCTTCTCATTTTGTCTCCTTTCTGGACTCACATTTTCATTATGTACTAAAAATTTGCTGTGAGGGGTGCCCAGGTGGCTCAGTCAGTTAAGGATTCCAACTCTTGATTTTGGTTCAGGTTATGATCTCAGGGTTGTGAGGTCAAGCCCCCACATCAGGCTCCGTGCTCAGCTCCGAGTCGGCTTGGGATTCTTTCTCTTCTTCTGCCCCTCTCCCAATTCATGTGCGTGTACACTTTCTCTCTGTAAATAAAATCTTTTAATGAATTAAAAAGTTGCTGTGATAATTTTTAATTTTTTTCCTTGTGATTGGTCTCTCAAGATTTGAGTCCTGGGTGCCTGGGTGGCTCAGTTGGTTGAGCGACTGCCTTCGGCTCAGGTCATGATCCTGGAGTCCCGGGATCGAGTCCGGCATCGGGCTCCCCGCTGGGCAGGGAGTCTGCTTCTCCCTCTGACCCTCCCCCCCATGCTCTCTCTCTCTCTCTCATTCTTTCTCTCAAATAAATAAATAAAATCTTTAAAAAAAAAAAAAAGATTTGAGTCCTGACCACAGAGATTACTATGTAAAAGAAATGTTACATTTGTCATTATATTCATCACTGGGGGAAAAAAAACTTGAAAGTATTTCCTTCATATGGCTATGTTGCTGTATTATATGACTAGGCTAACCATATTTTAGTTGTATGTTATTAAATGCATTGATACAGTTTCAGCATCTAGAGAGAGGAATGATTTGTCATTAATGTAGAATCTTTTAAGATTTTGCTAAGATTATGTACAGTTTACTTCTAGCTTTAAAGCTTTAACAATATTTAATGCTGAGTTTTATTAGTTAAAGCATACACCCAGAACACTGCTGAATTCCTTGATGGTATCAGTTGATTCATGGTATGAGTTTCCCTTTAAAGTGCTTTAATGGTAGTTCCCTTTCCAGTGATTTAATGAGGGGTTTAGAGAACATGTTTGTATAGCATTTTTGTTAAGTGAAAAACAAAAGTGGTATAGGTATCTTCAACTAAAACTTTTTCTTAATCGGTAATATTGTGTTAATTTGAATGCTGATTTTTTTCCCCCACAGAATGAATTAAGTGCAGCAACACACCTGACTTCAAAACTTTTAAAAGAATATGAAAAACAGGTATCGTACATGAAAATTTTAAAAGCATAATTTAAAATACGCAGTGATACAGTATCTGTATAAATAGAATTGCTCATCAAGAATCCTAAGCTTTTTTGAATTCATAGAAAGTAATTTTGATATGCTGTTGAAATTCCATTATAGCTAATTTTAACTAATCTTAGGTAGAAGTTATTTAATTGACTTACCTTCTTTTCACAAATGAAGAAACTGAGGCTTACTCATTATATTGCTGGTCATTGGAGGAATTGGAGCTAAACAAATCTTTGAACTTTAGTATGATGTGCATTCCTATAATATGTTAATTAGTTGCTTAGCAAACATTTTAAGTAATGTTTACTAATTATACGAATTACACTCTTTTATTAAGTGACATTTTTAGAGCTTTTTCAAAGTTTTGGAAGTTTTTAAAAGTTTCAGTCAACCCTTGAACAACATGGGTTTGAACTGCATGGGTCCACTTATTCATGGATTTTTTGATACAGTACAGTAAATATATTTTTTCTTCCTTATAATTTTAACATTTTCTTTTCTCTAAAAGTTTGTGAAAATACAGTACATAATACATGTAATAAATAAAATATGTGTTAATTAACTGTTTACATTACTGATAAGGCTCCCATCAACAGTAGGCTAGTAGTTAAATTTGGGGAAGTTAAAAGTTATATGTGGGGGTCGGCCCTTCTAACTCCCATGTGTTTTGAGGGTCAGCTATTTTTAAAAATGTAAATTACAGCATCATTTACGGAAGACATACAGCACTGGACCTTTACCTCATCTCTGTTTCTCATTTTTCAGCGTTTTCCGTTGGGGGGTGATGATGAAGTTATGAGCTCTACTTTGCAACAGTTTTCCAAAGTTATAGATGAGGTAAGTGCTTATTTTATTTTGCTTGAGTTAGTGGTCTTATAATTAAGTTATTCAAGTTGTTTAGCTTTTATTGGGAACTTTATTATGATTACATGAGCAAATCTCTATAATAAAAGGTTACTATTTAAAGAAGGACCTTATTTCCATATTAGTGTCTGTTTCATATCTTAGTGACTGTCTCATAAAAATAGTACTTTGTCTGATTAAAACAAATTGTTTTCGGGGATAAGCATAGAGGTGTGCTCTCTCTCCTCCCAGTCCATGTCCTTCAACCTTTCACTGTTCTATTTGCTGTAGGCAGGGGGGAAGAATTAAACTATGAGATATAGCTAAGTTCCGGATCATTTTTTAATGATTTGTTCTGATGACTGGTTAGAGAAATTAAGGGCTGATACTGGCTGTCTGGGATGGAAGGAATAATAAACTGAATGGTAAAATGTTGTTAGGAGGAAGAAGGGTGGTGAGAGCTATTTGGGGAGTCCATTACTCTTCTCAACTAGGGCAATGAAAGCTCTTCTTTTCACATGAACCATTAGATAGTTCTGTCTTTTCTGGTCCCCTAACTGAAAAAGTAATTTTTTGAAATACTTTAATAACTCACTGTAGCAAAATATTGTTACAGTAGAGCAATATAAATATTTATAGGAAATGGAATATTTTTATTGTGGTAAAATATACATAAAATGTCTCCCTGCTTACATTTATACACTCACAGTGTTGTGCAACCATCACCACCGGTGCCAGAACATTTTCATACTCCTCCCAACGGGAAACCCTGTGGCGATTAAGCAGTCACTCCTCCCTTCCCCTCCCTTCAGCTCCTGGCAACCACAGATCTACTTTCTATCTGTATGGATTTGCCTGTTTTGGATATTTCATATAAATGGACTTACACATTTGTGGATTTTTGTGTCCGTCTTCTGTAGCATAATGTTTTCAAGGTTTGTCTGTGTTGTAGCATGTATCAGAATTTCATTCCTTTTTGGGGTGAATAAAATTCCATTGTTTGAATATACCACTTTTTATTTATCCATTGATAGTTGATGGACATTTGAGTTGTTTTCTACTGTTTGGCTAGTGGGAATAGTGCTACAGTGAGGGTTTGTGTACAAGTTTTTTTTCTTTTATTTTTTCCTTGAACACCAATATTCAGTTCTTTTGGGTATATAATCAAGAGTGGGATTGCTGGGTCATACAGTAACTTTATGTTTAGCTTTTTTTTTCCTATTTTTTTTCTTTTTGCATTTTTTTTTCTTTTTATTAACATATAATGTATTATTTGTTTCAGGGGTACAGGTTTGTGATTCATCAGTCTTACACAATTCACAGTGCTCACCATAGCACATACCCCCCCCAATGTCCATCACCCAGCCACCCCATCCCTCCCACCCCCTCCACTTGAGCAAACCTCAGTTTGTTTCCTGAGATTAAGAGTCTCTTATGGTTTGTTTCCCTCTCTGGTTTCATCTTGTTTCATTGTTCCCTCCCTTCCCCTATGATCCTCTGCCTTGTTTCTCAAATTCCACATATTGGTGACATCATATGATAATTGTCTTTCTCTGATTGACTTTTTGCTCGGCATAATACCCTCTAGTTCCATCCACTTCATTACAAATGGCAAGATTTCATTTTTTTGATGGCTGCATAACATTCTGTTGTATATATACACCGTATCTTCATTATCCATTCATCTGTTGATGGACATCTAGGCTCTTTCCATAGTTTGGCTATTGTGGACATTGCTGCTATAAACATTGGGGTGCACGTACCCCTTCGGATCCCTACATTTGTATCTTTGGGGTAAATACCCAGTAGTGCAATTGCTGGGTCGTAGGGTAGCTCTATTTTCAACTTTTTGAGGAACCTCCATACTGTTTTCCAGAGTGACTGCATCAGCTTGCATTCCCACCAATAGTGTAATAGGGTTCCCCTTTCTCCGCATCCTCACCATATGTTTAGCTTTTTGAGCCAGACTGTTTCCCACAGGTCCTGCACACTTTTACATTCCCACCAGTAATGTAGCGTTCCAGTTTCTCCACATGCTCACCAACCTTACTGTTTTCATTTATATTTTTATTATAACCATCTAAGTAGGTATGAAGTGGTATATCATTTCAGTTTTTATGTGCATTTTCCTAATGACTAATGATGTTGAGCACCTTTTTCTATGCTTATGGGCCATTTGTATATCTTTGAAGAAATGTCTATGATAGTACCCCGTCCCCATCTGCAGGGGATGATACATTGCCCAAATGGTTGCCTGAAACCATGGATAGTACTGAACCCTATATATATTACGTGTTTCCCTATACATACATACATGTGATAAAGACTAATTTACAAAATGGGCACAGTAAGGAGAAAGGGGAACTCTCCTACACTGT